AATATCATGTTTAGCAATTTGCATATAATAATACTCTAAACAGTGGTACCGAAGTTTTTAAAGTGTGGTAGGGTAATTTTAAAACTTTGCGGCCTCAATATCTTAACTATTCAATATAGAGGTACATACCGTAATAAACATTTACTCATAAGTCATAATCATGGCTTAAATATACTCGTGCGCACAGGGGCGCATTAAGGGTTCACATATGGGGGGCAAAATTATTTTGCGCCCCTGGTGTATTTTATGAATATTAATGAAAGTATAAAAAACTTAAAAAAAATTTCCTCGATGCGCTCGAAAAATTAAGTTTGTACCTTACATTTCATACAGTTATTATACCTACGTAGATATCTTATTAAATGAATTACTAAATATCTATTTGGAACTTGGAATAATAATCCTTTCTTTTAAAATAGTACTGGTAATTGGAATATTTATTATGTAAAATGTTTATACTTCATTAACTAATAAATACCTCCTAGTAAGCAACTCCTATATTTTTAGTTATTTATGGAGTACCTATGTATTAAGCATTGACTTATAATAATAAATATATCTTTATTCTTTATTAACAATAAAATATTATTACATATTATAAAACTATTTAAATGACAAATATGGAACAATACTAATTAAAATATTTTCTTATTTTTTTGTTCACAAACTCTTTTATAATACTTGACCAATCAATACTTCTAATCATCTCATTTTCTATTGACAGCCATAGGCGCACATTGGGTGTGAATTCAGGGGGTGCTGGGATAATTTATGGTTCACACCTCCTAATCCTAATATTTCTGCATTGCATTAGATTTAATTTGTATAGTGTATACAATAATTTCTAAAGTGCAATGTATCAAATAGTCTGTATGATTGTAAAGAAGAGGCTAGGTACTCTAGGTACACCCACATGTGTTGTCTCCGTATTACAGACGTAGGTACAACATAGGCAAAACTGTTTTGCACGGGTATAAAAAACATTCAGGCTCTACTCTAAGCTAAGAAACTAAATGTTCACACTATAAAAATGAGAAAATTTACTCTGTAACTTTGTTTTTATATTTCCGATATCAAAACCAAAATAAAAGTTATTTAAGTTTGATAAACAAAAAAAAGGTGCTCTGCTGTACAGTAGGGTACAAGTGGGTCCCTGTATAATCGATGGTATTAAATTTGAATTCAATGATATACTAACATCATTGTATAAGAAAAACGATTCTGAGCGAAGACGGTTAGTCAGCCTATGATATTACTAAGTATATTTGATGATACTAAGGTGAATAAAGCAATTTATATATAACCTATTTACGTAGAATCTTATTTTAAATTTTCAATCATTAGCTATAAAAGTTGAACATTTTATAAATTTTTAACTATAAAATTATTATTAAATTTTAAATGTGATAAATTTTTTCAAAATTTGAATTTTAAATAATTATTAAAAAAAATTGTGCCTATGTATTTTTAATATTTTTCAAGTGTTATTGTAACAATATATTAGGAGCTTTGCATTAAATTTTCAAGCTTTTTTACCATACAAATAAAATTTTATTGAAATGAATAGAAAAAAAAATTAAAATATTGAAAACTGAAAATGTCCGTAAATAGCTCAAAAAGAATCAAAATATTTTCAAAACTATATGGTGTATAGGAAATGCTAATATAAAAATTTAGTAAAATTTTCAAGTATCTACAGTCTTTCGTTTTTTAATTACAACAAAATTAGAAAATCGTTACACGAGAAATCGAGTGAATATCAAATGTTGTAAAAATATGAATTTCAAACGTTCATAAAAATTTAATTTGAGATTCTTGTAGACATTTTTTTTTTTTGATAAAGGTAGACAAACTTATGAGGAATCTTGCATTACATTTTCATATCTTAGATTTAAAAAGAAAATTTTTTATGAATTTCTAACTCGAAATAATTTGCAAATTTTCTTCATTTTCACGTATTTTGTCAATATTTGGAATTTAAATGCTTATAACAATTTGACCCCCCCAAAGTACCAACTAGATTCACTTTCCTATCAGAAAAGATACTGTTGAAGAAAATCCAAGCACTTTTACTGCCCTAAAAGATGATGACGGACAAAAAAAAAATGAATTCGTGAATTCGTAAACAGTTGTTAATATTTGTAATGAAAAGAAAAATTCCGAACCAATAAACCACGATAGTTTATAAATGATTGGTGAAATACTGAAATAAACTGAGGGTGCTAGTTTGAAGCTTGCATATAAATGCCCATCTCATACTATGACATAATTTTATATACATAATTTATAACGTTTAATAGTACATTAGTATGATAGTTCTAATTATTATTAGTTGTTTCTTAAACCCGAGTTTTCCATTATGTCATACAATTTGTATGTTTTCTTTTTGACTCTGAGATACAAAAAAAAAAAAATTACAAAAATGTACCGCCCCCAAAAAACTTCCGCCCGGGGCAAATGCCCCTTTTGCCCCCCCCTTAATGCGCCCCTGCGTGCGCATAATGAAGTTATGATGTAAATTGTAAATTAAATATGGCCTATCGGCTACATTTTTTGGAAAATAGGTCCGGCCATGGCCGTAAGTTATGATGGTCTCTAAACCTTAAAACCAAAAATATATAAGCAATTGCAATCGGATGAATGACGTAGAAAAACCCTGTAAAAGAAAAGCATGGTTATTGCAGTTATTGGTTATTCCAGGTTTCGTAGAAATAAACTTATTGAGACACACAACACTATATAGTAATAATATAATTAATTATTTTTTTTGCAGTGCCTATGACTGTTATGAGAATTAAAAAATACATTACGTCGACCATCTATCCATGTCACAAAATAGACCAAGCTATACTAAAAATAAAAAGAGATATTTACGATTGTAAAATATTAAATACGCTTACTGAAGAATACATACTTAGGTCAGCTAAGTCTACCTATTTGTTTTATTATTTATATTAGACTTTTAACGACGAGGGGGGGGGGGGTTTGATTCTATTTTTTACTTTGGATTTCATGAGCCCCTGTAGGCTGTAACTACTAAATCCTAGTGACGCCCATGATTTCGTCAACAATAACAGCAACAACAATAACAACGATAATAATAATAATAACGACGATCGTAAAAACACGATATTAATGTCGTAATAATATTATCGTTATTACTACTACCGTGTACAGCCAGAGAAAAAGCGGCGTTGCCCGCCGACCCGTCTAAACTTTTGCATGTAAACTTTTGCTCGAGGGAGGGGTGGTCGTTCAGTGAGCGTTTTCTACCCTCCTCTACTACCTACACATATATAATATTATAATATACCACAGCATTAGCCCCGGACAATATTATTACATATACCATAATACGATCGTAAAAATAACGATATTGTCGGTGGTGCGGTTACGAGCTGCAGCAGCAGCTGATGGTCTGGCTCGGAAATCTACACGGTCGAGGTGTTTAGTGGGAGGGGAAAGCTAGGGGGGCACCTGTGCGCGGTAGAAACCGCATCTCCGAGACCGGCGATATATTTTTTACGGTAAGCCGGCAACACTGTCGCGCGGCGGCGGCGGCGGATCGCTGGCCGCTGCTGCAGTCGCCGCCGCCGCCGCGTACCATATTGATTATTTTCCAGGTCATATTTCGTCCCGACCAATGAGCTGACATTTTCCCCGACGCTCGCCGTCCGTCACCGCACCACAGACGCCGCCGCCGTACACCGGTGCCGAGCGTGCGCGTACAGAACGCATGAGCGCGCCGCGCCACCGTGCGTGCGCGCGCGCGCGAGTGCACCGGCGCGCGGCAGTGTGCGTGTGCGAGCGTTACGGCGACGACGACCGTGTGTTGTTGTAGTGCGCGTTCACGTTTCTCCCCGCTCGCTCGCTCTCCGCGTGCTTGTGCACGACCGTATCCTCTCGCTCTCGCTATATCCAGTCCCCCGGCACTCACCAGCCCGCCCGCCTTACACCGCACCGCACGCTCGCTCTCTCATTCGCGCCGAACGTTAGCGCTGCCGGTGGTAGGGGGGTCTGCGACGTCAGTGAACGCGCGCGCAGGCACCGCACGTCCGATCTCGGCGGAATTTATCGCGTACTCCTCCGTGGCGGACGCCGATAACGCGTCGTTTTGTTAACAATTTTTTTATGTTTTTGAAAAACGCGTACGCGCGCACGTAATCAGAATAATAATAAAAAAAATCGTATACACACAGTCGCGGAATCGCAACTAAAACGACTGCAAAAATAATACGATATAATGCCCGTTTTGCTCCGGGTACGTTCGCATCGCACGTCTCTAGAACAGCTAACGATTAATGATAATAATAATAATGTATTGTGATAAAAAAAAATCAAAAACAATTTCGCACGGGCCCCAACGTTCGTGTTGAGGTATTATAAAATATCGTGCGGCCGTGACATAATAATCATACAATAATATCATAATATAATTATAAATATTAAATCTCGTCTACGTTCAGTGTGTGCGCCAGCCGAGCCGCTTGGGACGACGACGACGACAGAAAAGCCTGCCACAACGAAAAGGCGACAACCGTTTCTCGACACCGGCGAAAAATATTATTATTAATTTTATCATATTCGCGAAAAATGCCGCGGCGATCGACGCGTACGAACGGCGCCGTTGTGGAAACGCCGCGGCGGCGACGGTCGTAGTGCGTCCGCGCCGTGTGCGTGTGCGTGCGTGCGTACGTGTGCCGCGCGTAGCAGTGTGCGTGCGTGTGTGCGCCGCGCGGTGCGCCGCGCAGTGTGTGTGTCGGTGTGTGTGCGTGTCAGTGTGCGTGCGCGTGTGTGAGTGTGTGTGCGACGGCGGCGTTCGTACGGACGCGACGCGCCTTGGGTGAGAGCCGCTCGCAATAATAATATAGTAATCGCGCGTACCGGATAACGTAATAACAATAACGACGACGGCGGCGGCGGCAGTGCAGCAGCAGCACCTCCACACGGTCGCCGCGGCAGCAGCAGCAGCAGCAGCAGATTGGAGCGGCTGCTGTTAGATGCAGGTGGCCACTTTGTTCCGCGAGTCGGCTAATCTACTCGGTGCCGCTATGGAACCCGGTTCGTCGACGGACAGCAATTCGCCCTCTCTGAAGCAACAACAGCAACAGCAGCAGCAGCAACAACAACAGTAAGCACCGAGCTTTACGGTTTTTTTTTTTTTTTAAGTTTTTCTTTTCGTTGTTTTCCTCACGAAATTATTTACCTGCCTATTTTTCCGTGTGTATTATCACACCTCACGGCCAACAATCATCATCATTATTTTTATCATCGTCATCGGTGTATTATCATCACATGCTCAATGCCGGGGGAGGGGACGACATAGTGGAGATACGCGTTAATATTATTATAACAACACTCTCTACACGCTAACGCCCCCGCCTAGGGGGGAGGTGGCCGATGTTGCGGTAAGTGTGGAGGACGAAGAGGTGGCGGCGAAGACAAAGACTGGTTACCTACACGGTTTTCCGTTTTTCCGAGCTGGTGTTTGTTTGTGTGTGTCGTATGTGTGTTTGTGGTGGTTGGAGGGGGGGTCGAACTCTTGCCGGGGGGAGGGGTGTGTGTGTGTTTTGCGAGCACTCGAGACCGATAGTTGTGCAGTCGGTGTTGGCGTGTGTAGTTTATTTTTTGCCGTTTTTAATAATATAATATAAATATATTATATGCATATTTTTTTTCCCACCGGATACGGCTCTTCGGCTTGTCGTGTGTGCGTGTGAACGGTACGTGTGTGTGCGTCCGTCCGTCCGTCTACGTGTGCTTGTGTGTGTTTGTACGTGAATGTGTACGCGAGTGTGCAAACTGCAAAGCACACGCGCCAGCCGCCCGATTATACACGGCCGTTTGTCGGTGTATGAGTGAGTGTTCGAGTAAGTGACTGGTGAGTGTGTGTGTGTGTGAAAAATATAACGCGACGACTATTATAATGTACACGGTTACCTACGATTTACCCGCACGCACACGTAATCGACGACCCACCGAGGCAGGTAGTACTTATACGCATAATAATAATAAATAATAATAATATTGTACCTAGGTAACGTTAAAATAATGTCGTGAACACGTACCTATATTATATAAATTATAGTGTACAGTCTAAAATAATATGTAAAATAGTAATCCGTCGGTCGGGGTGCACTTGGGCAGTAACTGGTGGTATACCTATTCTTAGGCTGATAACGCGATATTCAGGTGCTTGCGCTTCTGCTTCGGCGGTGGTTCCCTACAAAAACCGTTTGCACATTCGGCACGGATTTCGGTAAAGTATTGAGAGTGCGACTGGTCGTATATTTTGATGGGAGCGAAACTCTCGTCGTCGTCCTTGGCCGTCTTCACATAGGCTTAGCGCCGTGCCACCGATCTCTTACCCGTGTTGCAAAATATTGGTAGGTATAAGTTTAATACCTTTTTTTAAACTACGGTGTTTGGTAACCATTAAAAAAAAAAAAACTCATGTTCCGTTATCAGTATATAACATTATGTCAGATTGGTGTATCTTATCTTCATAAATAATTATTTATGTATTTCAGCACACCATTCCTACTAAATCAGTTACCTATACAATGTGTAACAATATTATTATAAGTATTGGAAGGCGCTTGAAATATATATCAGCGTTTTAATTATACCATAGCTGTTATATTATAATATTATATACATGTACATGCACACTAATACTACTTGTTCCTGTTAATATATTATGTTTAGATAAGGTATGGTTGCACTTTTTGTCTGTTGAACAATATACGGTTAATGTCTTATATGTTTAAAGTTTAAACTTGATAGGTAAAATGCTTTTTAACAACCCAACATTAATGAATTTTCATTTTGGTCAAGTACTTTTGTACTTTGATCATGTTTATAACCAGAGGTGTTACCATTCATTTTTTTGAGAGTATACTAAATTACTAAGCCGTCGAGTATCAAACTACTAGGTACCAGAATTTAGTAAAAATATCTTGAGAGTAGGTAGGTATACAAATTACACATAGTAAACCCTATGGGAACACCCCTATTTATAATACCAATGTATCGAGTGCGGGAAGAATAGGTAGTAATTACCATAAGTCTATTACTCTGGCTAGCTAATTTTCTGGCTAGTATCACAAATTAACATTTATTGTACATTAAGTAGGCCAAATGTGGTTAGCGTTATATTATATTTGAAATATACAATCAGGTATGGATAAGAATTTACTATAATGTCTATCTATATATAATTTTTTAACTACTCATTAAGGATTAATATTTAAATCAATTGAGATTATCTGAGAATTATTGTATTTCACTTACTATTAGTAAATAGGTACATATGTCAGGGAGTAACCTTGAATTAAAGTGTATTAAGCTGGCAAGCCTCTTACCAACTACATGACAATTTTTTCTATAAATGCAATTGTCTGAGTATATTCTTGGAATTTTCTAAAGTGATCTCTAGCAGGTAACAAGTAGGCAATTGATAGAATATAATATATTATAATAAATACTGTTTTGGTTGTTGAGCATAACACTTATTCATTCACAAAAAAATGTTTTTTGTTCTTATTATTTAATTAATTATATCCATATTTTTATTTATTAAGTTGTTGACATCTCATCAGCTAATGATACACATAGGTGCCTATTACTTGCCTACATATTTCTCATTACGTTCTATAATTTTAACATTATGCCTACATTTATTGGATACAATTTTAGAAATGTAAATATACTCTGTTCAAAATAAGAAACCTAGACGGCGGCCGAGTTGTGCGCATGGGCGTGGCTTTTTTCCGTGGTAGCGCCCGACGCGTCGCTGTAGTGGGGACGGCGTCTGACCGCCGCCCGACGAAAACTCGTCGCCGCCGACTGTGTTTCTTATTTTGAATAGAGTATAGATACCTACATAGTTTACACTTTATACTACTTTAAATCGAAAATATGTGGTTGGAAAGTGGATAGTATAAGATTGACGTTATTGTAAATGTCAACATGTTTATGTCTATATTAATGATGAGTATTAAAATGTAAATCCATTGTAAGGTATTTATTTAAATAAGCGATAAGTTTGATATCTTTAGTTCATGGTTGTGAAAGAAAAGTAACTAATTGTATATATACCTTTTGCTAATCTATAGTTTTTTTTTTTTTGTAAGTAGTACATTAATGAATTGAATGTCTTAATGTTTATCTCTTAATGAAAACATTGTACTGATGTTTAATACATCCATTGAATGATTTATTATAAAACTTAGATAATAAATTAAACAAACAGAATCCATCTAATAATATTGTTTAGCAGGTCCCTTGTTCTACTGTAAGTAAGTAGATCATTAAGTGTGAAAATAATTGTATTTACAATCTTTTAATTTTTATTTCTATTGTTAACTACTTACATAAATTTAAAAAAAAAACCATTATTTAATTGTCTATCATGACATATTTTATTAATTATATTGATAGTCATTTGTCAAGTAAATATCAACCATCCACCAAGAAAGTAAAATAAATTGATAAGCATAGATTAGGTATTTTCAAATTATCATAATTTGTTTTAATTAAATCCCCCATTAATTAATGAAGTTTAATAATGTCATTTTTAAGAGATGTAGCATGGAAAATGTAAATATTGATATTATTTAATTTGTTTGTTTATTCAATATAATATAATGGTGTTTTTTTTTTTTTTTGAATGGCAAAGTTTGAGCTGAATTGTTTGTTTACCTATTAACGGATGTTTACCATTTTTCGGATTTCTCTTATTTTGCATAAATTATACCATATTTTGTTAAATATTTCATTTAAGTATTAGGTAATAAATAAAAGGAGACAAAATATTTTAAAGAATAATGGCTAGTACTTTGGACTTTCAATACATTCTAATATAATGTAACTTCCACAACACATTTAATTTTTCTCTAAGAACACTTGAACATTTTCTTCAAAAGTATATTTTATATCTTAAACTCGAACAAAAATATTTATTATGTATAAGTAGTTATTGTATTTTATCTATATTACCTACATATGTTTCAAATTATACTTTTATCATTCCATCCTAGTAATTATTTAATCCATGTTAGGAAATATATAAATTAATTTATTATTTCAATAGACTGAAAACACATGTTCAAATTGTAACTGTACATGTTACAATTTAAAATTATACCTAGTACAGTTTATTGAGTTGAAAAAAATAGATAAATCTAAAATAATTGATACATTTCATTCAAGATGTGTCATATTCATTTAAATGGATCTTTCTTTCTACAGCTTATTTAAATATGTTTATACTAAAAATGTATTATTGTTAAATAATTATAATTCTTTAATATATGGTGTTACTCTAAAAACATAACAATTTATATTGCTTGATATTTAATTATAATTTAATATGAAAAATTTTCCTATAAATTCTTAAAAAATGTTATTAATTAATAGGTATCAAATTAGTATTTAATTTTAATAAATTTTAAGTATTTTACCCAACTTAACCTAACCTAATCACAATCAATTATAAAAAATATACATTTTCAACAAAATTGGGTTTGTTTAAATGCTCCTTATCGGTAAAATGCTTATATTTTCTCAATATATTTATAAAATTATAATTATTTAAATGGGTGAATTGAATAAATAATCTTATAATATTGTATCATATTGTCATTTAAAGTGCCATTTTGCCATAATCATTACCTATGTAAATATTGGTACCTATAATACTTACTAAGTATTAAATACTTGAGGTTGGGATTGTTAATGATAATTGTACGCTACTTAAATAAGTTAAATAAAAAACAAATAAAGTTTGCTACTTAAAATCACTTTTTATTGAGATGTTTTGACAAAATGAATTATTAAGTTCATTGATAAAATATTGTTTGTACCTATTCATTAAATACGAAGTTAGTTTTTATTGTTAGTACCTAATTGAGACATTGACTCTCTATACATTATATAAAAATCAATTCATTCAGATTATACAGTAAATAAAAACACACTAGTGGTAACTATACAAAAAAAAGAACAATTTTAAAATGAATATTATAAATGAGTATATTATTTTAAGAAATAAGAATATACATTTTTAAAGTAATTTAAATTAAACACATGTGTAATCCTGTAGGTATCTGGTGTTATTTAAAAATACAT